TAAATTCCTTAAAAGTATTCAAAAAGTTATTATTAGAATATATCAAATTATAATACATGACGTACTGTAAAATTATATACGTATATAAATTATTCATATATGCATAACTATATATTGTATATTAGAATTCCCAAAATAAAGTCTACTAAGTCTGAAAGTCGCGAAGATGAGCAGCACATCTTCACCGGCAGCAGGAGAGGTGATGAGATCTAGAGGTGATTCCGAATTGGGGTGAAAGTAATCTGGTTCAGTTCGAATCCACGAAGAACACCCAGGAATTGGTTTTCTTCAAGAAGATAAATGTTCCCGAAGCAGATATAATAATCTCAGGACAGACAATTCCGTTTTCTGCTTCGATGAGTTTGTTGGGGGTTGAAATAGACACCTTTATGTCTTGGCACAATCATGTCGCTGGAATTGCATAGGCAGCTTCTCATAGAATAGAATAGAATAGAATAGAATATTTATTTACCAATATTTGATACAATAATGTATATTTGGCACGTCACTTGAATATCACACACAAATAAATATCACAAATGTCACAAATAAATGTAGAGTCATGTAACAAAATGAATGAAAACTGAATCATCACATTTACACACATGAACATATTTACAAATCCAAACGACTTTTTATTTTCTAGAGAAAACCCGTTCACAGATCCCAGAGATCTCTAATGTAGAGTCCACGCATCCAACGATAAGTATGATTTTTTTTTCAGTTCAGATCAACTATACCATCTTGGAGGAATTACCTCAAATAATACCATCAAAGTAAATTCAGCAAAGCAACGAAAGATGAAGGCAGTGCAATCGATAGTTTTCCAAAAAATGAAACGCTACTCCATACCCGTGATATTAGGAATTCATATTCCAATTTTTTCCTTGTTACGAATTCGAATCATTTCAGGTTTTTTCATTTTGAATTCAACATCAGATGTTTGAAATTTCCACATGCACTTTTCAATTCAAATTCTGTTAGCGATTTTGTGGCAACAATTGAAGGAGAAGCGGTAGGAAATACATGAAACATGTGTGAAAGAAACATTCATCATAATTTTTGTGAAGAGAGGCAAAATTTATTCGAATTGATACTTGAATGAGAATTAAAATCTCCACTTCCTAAATGAATTTGCTTCAGTATGTGTTCGGAAGGTCATGAAAATTTGTAATAATATAAATGCAAAAGTCACTCACTTAACAACCACCCATTCATCTCTGTTTCTCCGTACTGGTGAGTCGTAGAAATCTAAAATTTGGTATGTAGATGCTACATAGGTCTCAAATGCGCAGTAAGGAAAGATTTTCAAATATTTCAACTGGGGATCCCCCGTGTTAGTAAATGGGGCGAGTTTACATCCGAAAATTACACGTTCATCACTGTTTCTCCGTACCGGTATATTTCCGGAGGATGAAATTTTATATGTAGGTGTTCGTTTTATGTTGTAGATGTGCACTAAGAAATGATTTTGAAATATTTCAACTGAAGATCCTCCCCTGGGAATGAAAGGGGCGCATTTACATATAAAAATTACCTTTTCATCACTGTTTCTCCGTACCGCTATATTTTCGGAGGCTGAAATTTTGTATGTAGGTTCATTTTATATTGTAGGTGTGCAATAATGACGGATTCGTTGATATTCCAACTGACGAGCCCCCACTGGGTAAGAAGAGGTATGTTTACATATGAAAATTACTTTTTCATCATTGTTTCTCCGTACCGATATATTTTTGAAGGCTGAAATTTTTTATGTAGGTTAGTTTCATGTTGTTGACGTGCAGTAGAAAAGGATGTTTGTTCTTTTTTCTATACCGCAATATTTTCGGAGGCTGAAGTTTTCTATGCTAATGAAATTGACTATATTGTTGAGAAATCGAAAAACTCCCACAGTGGTGATATATACGATCAAACGTGAAGGCTGCCAAATTCATTCCTGATTACTCAGCTTCAGCTTGATGCTGGATTTTCAATAATTATAACATTTTTCTCCAGATAGATTTCAACTTGCAAATGATGAAGAATTGAACCCATTCGAACCCATGTCAGTTCTTTGAATGTTTGAATAAACATTGAAGTCACGAATCATACTTCGAAGATAACCAACTGTTCATCAATGAATATTATAGTTATAGAGAAAATAGGCAAGAACAAAATCACTCATTTCTATCATAGAAAAATCGTAGAAACAATCAAGGAAAATCTATGATAATTCACTGTTATGAGCGCCATATCAGAATCATTTGATTACATCATGCATAACTATCTTTTGAATATTAAACGGGAGTAGTTTTTGTGGTGAGAAGTCAGTTTTCCATGGACATTTTTTGGGCATTTTCAGAATACAAAAAATATAAAAATTGTAATGGGAACTTCAGATACGTGTAGAAGGGGCAAACTTTTGAGTTTACCCCGGTTAAGTGTCTGCGTAAATTCAAGGTATTTTTCACGAAGAAAGAAGTATATTATTCAGTACCTTGTCATATTCAATGATTTTGCCTGTGAAAAAGAGCAAACAAGTTATACAATACTTATTCTGATGTTTCGGAGGCCAAAATCTGCCTTCGTCTTCAGAAATGGACAAAATATAATACGCAGCTCTTCCTCCGCTGATCATTTCTATTTCTCAACTATTCTGAATGGAGCTCAATACATGGGTATTGTGATCCGAATGGAGCACAATATCTGCCTTACTGCAAACGATT